ACTAGACAATTTGTTTAGCTCAAGTTGCTGAACTAACATTTCAGAGTACATAAAAAAAAGTTTTTTTCTTTTCAGTTTGACGGTGATAAAACAAATAGTGAATGCTCTTGTTTTACTGTAAAATTAATATTCAAATATCCTTATTTAAACAAATTTCCTTAAAAAAGAACTCATGATGCTGTGCAATCATGTTACTACCTTTGGGCCTACTCAAGAAAATTGTTTTTGTTGAACAAGTATTGAGCTTAATCGTCCCCCGCAGCAGGTTTTAAATTTTCTATGATGGTCACAAAAAACAACTATTGTATTTTTTTAAAAATTTCATTCCACAATCTAAAAATTAAAAGATGATTGTGGACATGATGTATCAGTGATATTCTTGAAGAGTTTCAAAAGTTGAATTGGAAAACTATTTATTATAATTTTTTTTTTAATGGTACAATACTGAAAATAGAAGATAATTATATTTTAATATCATAAATTTGTGTTTTATTAAAATATATTTAATTTTGCATACAAGCTTATATTTGATAATAAATATTACTTTTTTGTTTTTCAAACGATGATATTTTTTTGTGCATTTTAATAGCTATTAGACCTTGTTACATAACTTACAAACAATTTTGTTAATATTACCTCAATGCATTTGAATAATAACGTAGCAAGATATCTGAAGAATTTCTACTGAACAAAGAGTATAAAGATTTTTCTCTGAAAGGAACTGCGACTGCTCTAGGGTTTGCCAAATCATCCAAGAAAGGTAGAGGAATCCTATCCGGCTGTTGATTGCCATTATCATTACCACCATTACAAAATGCAGCTTGTACATAAAAAAAAAAAAAGAAGAAGAATAATATACTTAAATCAATATTTTGTTTTTATTATTCACTAAATATTACTTTGGCTAAACTTATTATGATTGAAATCCACAATTTAAAAAACTCATGTCAATCTTTAAACATTTTTTTTTGCTGCAAATCTTTCCTTAAGGTAGACCCATATTCTGTGTAGAAACCAACCATATACTTTGCATCCCTGTGCATTTACATCATGAACACACATAAAAAAAATAAATAATAATAATTTCTTAATCTATAGTGTTTTATTTTATATTTGAAGTATATTTAATTCAGTATATCTAAGATTCAGTTCCTTTATTTGCAGGTACTAAAATTAATTATATCGTAACTTATTATATTTCCCTACAAGTGTCCGCAACCTCTGTAGGTTATCTGATCCTAATTTCAGTGTTTCAGTTTTTTTCAGAGGACATTTTGATCAATGGTCGGAATAGGGATTTTCACTTTCAGCCTCTAGAAGTTCACAACCTTCCTATTTACATAAATGTGAGGAAATCAGAATAGATGTTGGAGGTTGATTATAGAAATAGAAAATAACTTTATTCTGAGACAAAGTCCCTTTAGAATAACAACATAGAACATAATTAAAAGACTGCATCTGGCCAAAATAAAACAATAATAAAAAAAGAGAAAGTAAGGAAAATATTAGTTAAACAGGCTATGTACAAAAAAAAAAAATATCTATATACAAAACACTTAAAACTATGATAAAACAGTTAAAACGATGTACAGTAGGGAAAATTATAATTATATACTTTTGAAAAATAAAATAATAAAAAATACATTGAATTCTTCTTTAAAATCAGCTGTGTTTCTGCTAACAAAGGAAAGACAAATCTGACAATATAAAATGTCAGAGTATTTAAATAATGAATAATATCAAAACACGTCATTATTTTATTGTAATTATTGGTACAAATTTATTTGTATAAGAATAAAAAAGATAAAAACAAACAAAAACAATAGATACATTCATTGGCATTGAGAGTAGGAAGATATTCTAAAATCTCTAGTGATAGCAAGCATCTGACTGTTTTTGGGATAGGAATTGGAATTATAGTAACTTTTATGACAGTATCGATTGATATTATATTTATTTATCAGTATTAAAGAAGTTACTAATATTAATACTAACAATTCTTGCCTAGGTCGGAATTGGTGATGAGGTTGGAGCAACAGGCGGACTTGAAGGAAGACACCACGAAGGGCTGTACGTTCTTGGAGCGGCGGACGTATACCGGGCCAGTCCAGCCTCCGCCATCCGTGTCCAGGGTCTTCCTGTAGGCGCTCTGGAGCTCGTTGACCTGCCTCGCGGTGCAATAGGACACCGTACCCTCGTAGTACTTGGAGTTAGTGATCGGAATACCGTAAGCCTGGGGGCAGCAACGCTCTTCTACAATACTCTATCGTCCAATGCTTCAAGCTAACTAAGGTTTACAACTATGAATATACAGTAGACTTTCAGTAATCCGATCATCGATAGTCAAAACACCCCAATAGCCCGAGAAAACAAAAGTAGTGAAAGAATGATAGATGGAAGTTGTATGATATTCTTTGTTATTTGGCAATGATTATTTCCAATTAACAACAATTGAATTTATTCGCTGTATTATGAAATTGCATGCTTACAAGTTAACGTTTCGGGATATTTACTCCCATCTTCAGAACCACAATCCCAATTATCTTGTGGATACATGGCTTAAATCTAATGTGCTCCATGGTCAGTTTCTAATTCATGTTATAATAAATCTAGGTATATAACATCTAAAGCAACATCTTACTTTTAGACTAACTAGTACGCCCGTGCGATCTGTTTTTTTTGTTTTTTTTCAAGTGAGAAAAAAGGGTAGCAGATATCAAGAAACCCATTTCTAACGAAAATCGCACCCACGTCCGCAGGAGTTCCTTTCACCAGGTTGTTTTTCGAGAATCCCAAAAATTCTTTAAAAAAAAAAAAAAAAAAAAAAAAAAAAAAGGATGGCAGTAACACATGAATAATAGTGTGTCTGGTTTCAATAACTTCAGTAACGAATCGTCCTATATCAAGAAAAATACTCAAGAAGGAAGGTCCTCCAAAATACCCAGCAAACAAAAAAAAAAAACTGAAATTTTAAAAAATAAATACGTACAATTTTGAAATATCAAGTGATGAAGATATTCTTTCCAAGCTCAGAATAGTGATGGATTTTGGCATACGGGATGTCAAGAGAAATATAATTTATCGAAAAAATTAAAAATCTTAGTTTCGATACCATACCCTTAAGAAACGTTGGTAACCTTGGTAAATCGATGGGAGACAGTATTTTAAAGATTTAAATACAGAAATCGAGATCCAGTAAAGTGCAGTAGGTTATACTTGTTTGTATAATCCACTCACCTCAATCAAGAATCGTACTGTGCTTCAACTCAACAGGTCTCATTTAGTAGGGTACTGAGTTAGAATAACTCAAAAACCACCGTTTCAACCGATACAATTCATTTTAGGGCCAACCACTAGCGGGATCAAGGGTGAGGAGGAGGACTTCCAGACTATAGTCCACTCCTCCTTCCCTAATCCTCCCCAAAAAAGTAGGAGAATTATTATTTTTTTATTGGTTCATATGACTGTCTGTGCCAAATACATCACAATTTGTTCTCTTTTAGATTATTACAAATGTTGATCAACCTAATGAAATCATCTGTCAAGTAAAAATATGAACATTTTATCATTATTAGCAGTATTGTTCCTATTATTACCGTTGTTAACAAAAAAAGAAAAATATCCCTCAAAATTTAATCCTCAGTCCTCTACTAGGGTCAACAATACCTCCTCTATACTAGTGTATTCTTTAAACAAGTCATTTATCGTTAAAGGTACAAGTAACGCAAATAATAATAATAGTACGACTAAGCGAACCCGAAGAATTGATGCAGATACCACCTATCACTAGCGGATCCAGAATTTAATTTTTTGGGGAAAGGGGAGCTTCAGCCCGAAAGCTTTTTTTTCATAAAAATAACAATAACTACTTTGGTGTTTAAGTGAATCCTAACGTCCTTTTAAATGTAATTACACGAGCAATAATACTTTAAGAGATGATTTTTTAATATTTTTTTCCATAAAACATGGTTATATTTTACCATTTGGGGGAGGAGAGGTCAGCCCCAGAGTCCTCCCTACCCCCGTAGATCCGCCTGTGCCACCTATCGATGTCTACATTTTTCCATCCACCGAGCGCCGTCTAATCCCAACCCAGCCATATCAGCATTAATGCAATCTTTCCATCTTCACTTTGGTCTAACCCCTCAGACGATTACCAGTCATCACAGCGATTTTTTTTTTTAAATTCTATCATTACCAAGTCCAACAAGTGACACATGTATATTTGTAAATATAGCTAGAAAAATTAATATACTTATGTAAATGATATGATAGGAATTTACATAGATCCACTATTTTCTTCTTAATGGTGGAAACATTTCACCGTAGATGAAATAGTTGGAGAGTTAGTTGGTGGTGCTGTCAACGATGGAAGTATGTAAAAAAGCTTTATTTTCTTGATAAATAACAACCAAAGAAAGCTTTTTTTTTTTTTGCGTTTATCTTTGAACGCAACCCAAACCAACTTGTACTATTTTCTTCTTTGTACACATGTCCCAGCATAGAAATTACTTTTTATTTCAATTTAATATATTAATAAAGCTAATTTAAGAGATTATTTTTCATTTCACCTGGAAATTATCTAAAATCACATTAAACCTGATAATTAATAATTATCATAAAAGATAATTAAAATTAATAATTAAAATAAAAGAATAATATTTCGATAACTAAAAATAATATTACTTAACACAACTATGAATCAATGTAATGCTAGAAGCGATTAAATGGTCGATTTGAATTTCAACGTGATTATTTATTTTTTTTTTCAACTTTAGACATAAAGATATTACTGGACCTTTTATATCGACATTTTTCTCATATTTTACTAATTTACCTCGAATTTTTTTTCTTTAATAAAAAAAATATTATGAAGGCAAGATCTGACCCAAATAATTTTGTAGCAAAAACCATGAAAGATCAGTCGTGTTATTTCCCTTCAACCCAGGACTTAATTTTTTAACATTAACAGAAAATAATTAATAGCAATAATAATTAATAAATATGATAAGTTCGTCGTATTGATTGATACAGCCCTCTAAGATAGGCCACAGTGTTATCATCATCAACATTTTATCGCTCAGATAAGAAAGTATCGCTTTTCTTTATCATTCCTTCCTTCACGTTCAATATCAATTTTCCTCTAAGCCTATACATACCAAGTTTTTATCAAATATTGATATATATATATATATATATATATATATATATATATATATATATATATATATATATATATATATATATATATATATATATTGATATATGTAGTTAGCAACCACCGTATTATTTTTCAAGGCCAATTATAAAATCATATAATGTTTTTTTTCAAGGAGATAACTACCCTTTTCTTATCATTCATTTATTCCTATTTTATTAACATAACGTTTCAAGCCAATTGACTCATTATCAAGTTATCTTAGTCTTCATATTTCCTTTCCTTATTCAGTTATCTTTTACTAATATAATACTTTTCTGATAGTTCAATCATAAAACACAATCCATGTCATGTAACATTTTATTTTTCATTTAATAAAATGCTTTCCAATTAATTAATAGGCGAAGCAGTCTCTTCCCCTTTATTGCTCAAAGTCCATAAAAAAGATGCTTTTAGAAAAGAAACAATTCCTTTAGTAAAAAAAAAAAAAAAGAAAAAGGTCTATGAAAATGGCAATATCTTTTGTATGATTTAAATAGGGGATAAATAAAGAACAGTACAATCCTCTACAGTGCCAAATCTAGCGGATCTTCAGTTGAAAAGGAGAGAAATGAGATTAACAAGACTAAGAATTAGTACCTGAAGAATATCACAGGTAGTGTTGCCCAAATGCGAGACCGAGACGAGTCTTGGTCTGGCAAATTCAGTCTTGGTCTTGTGCAAGACCCTCGTAACAGTCTTGCAGTTAACTATTGGCTTACTACCAGAGAGATGTTACTGTATTTTTTTAGATATGAGAAACCTAACTAAGTCTGAATGAAAAGTTAGAAGAGTTAAATGCAAAAGTATATTGGTTACACCAACTCTTTAAATATAGTAACTAAAATTGTCAAGTATTAGTAACTATTTTGTCTCAATTTTTATTCAAAAAATCGATTTTTTTTTACCGGTCTTGGTCTTAGTCTTGCAACACACAGATTTTGGGTAACACTTATCACAGGATACTTCCTCAGTGAATTTCCTGCGGGATACATTTGACGGTGCCGCACATCTTTACTGAGTGTCACTGGGATCCACGAGAAGGCTTTCGGGCTGAAACTCTTCCTCCCAGAATGGAAAAATATATTTTTTTCATTGGTCCTTATTTATTTCTGAGAGTTCTGAGCTAAATACATAATTAAAACAGCACGAGTTAGGAAAAATTATCCCTAAAAGCTTTAATGTTCCTCCATTTTTTTTCCCGAGACAATCGAGGATTACTTAAACATTGTTTTTCTTGCAGAGCAATTACAATTGTTAAAAAAATTAAAATTAAATTCTGCATCCTCGACTGCAGAGTGTTATGCATATGATGCTCATCGGGATGAAGTTGGATTGGGAGATACAGTGACACCACAGGCGAATCTACGGGGGAGAGGCTTTTGGGCTGTATCCCTCCCCCCCTATCCCCTCAAAATGGTAATACATAATCATGTTTTATTGAAAAAAATATCTCTTAATGTATTCTTGTTCGTTTGATTACATTTAATAGGACTTCAAGAACCACTTAAACACCATTTCATGAAGGTAATTAATTTCTTTCTTTTTTTTCAAATTAATTATCGTTATGTGTATATAAAAAAAAAAAAATCGTTCGGGCTGAAGCTCCCCCAAAAATTAAATTCTGGATCCGCTAGTGAGTGACACCTCTGGATACGAGAAAGTCGTGGTGATTCATTTTTTGTTCTTTAACCAGGGGTATTTTTACACATATTCTCTAGTGTCAGTACATATAAAATTGCTCTGTAAAGAGAGAGGTCCTATTCTAGAGGTTTCACTGTAGTAGTGCAATTTTGGAGGGAAAAAAATAATGAAGATGATAAAAAAAAACTGTTTTCATTTCTTGAAAAACAATAATATTAAATACATTTTCTTTTTAAGTTGCTTTATAACGTTTTAGTGTTTTGTACCTTTAAATTTATTGACAATTTCTTCGTAATTTAATTGTTTTTGTGGCTTTAAATATTGTCTAAGAGCTAAAATATAAATATTGTATAAAGACTAAAATGACCCATACCTTGTTGAAACGCCCACATTGTTAAAAATAAATATTGTAAAGTTAAGCGATTAGCGTGTATATATTCAACTGTTCCTACAATGATATAATAATAATATATACAATATTATAATATGATAATAATTATCGGTACCTGTAGGTAGCCACCGAAGGCGTCCGAGATGGCGAGCATGATGAGGCGATGCGCACGGACGGAACAGGCCACATCCCGCGCAGACTCGAGGGTCAGCTTCATGTACTCCAGCAGGAGCGGGATCCTGCAGGGAACTCTCTTAGGGATCAGCTCCTGCCAACGTTATCCGTCGCTATTTTAATCTTTAATGCCTAGTCATGTTGAAAAGGTAATAGTAAAAAAAGTCAATACATAATGCTCTGGTAGAGAGCGTAATGCTCTATAGTCCGGGAAACGTGGACCCTCGAGAAATCGCAGAGCAAAAGATTTCTAGGTGTGGAGATGGATTTTCGGAGGAGAATGGCTAGAGTCTCAAGGACGCAAAGATTCAGAAACGAAACCATTAGAGAAAGGATGGAAGTTAAAAATAATATACTAGAAATAATGGAAGATAGTTTCTGTGGTATGGACATATGAAAAGAATGAGTAGCGAACGACTCCCCAAAACGCCATTTGAGTGGGAGGCTGAGGGTAGGAAAAGGAGAGGAAGACCTCGTGTTAGGTCGAGAGATATTGTGGCTGTGAGTATGGCGGGTCGAGGTCTGACGGAAGAGGAAACGATGGACAGGAAGAAGTGGAAGAACCGACAGACAGAGGAATTTGGCTGAGCGAATCTTTATCTGAATTTATGAAGAAAAACCGTGAAATTAAAAAATAAAGTCAACACCACATAGAAATGTAATTAATAAATCTATAAAATAGCCGCAACTACAGTTTAATGCTTGCATCGCTCTGTCTTTGTCTCCTTCTCAACTGGCTAATTCTGCAAATACTGCTGCTATAATTTGTGAACAGTGAACTTTTGTACATTTAAACATTTTCACATTAAATAGTGAGGTGAGAGATATTTATTAACAATTATGTTTAATAGTTAATTGATACTAGTTCGGTAGAGACAGCACAGCTGATCGGTAATTCCCTTAACGGGTCTTGCCCATCTACGTAAGATACACGGCCAAGGCTCTATTTACTAACACTACTTCCTTGGAGTGATATCGAGTTCGTATCCAAACTGATAAACTATTTTTTTTTTTTTTCTTTTTTTCTTCTCTCTTTATTTTATTTGTTTATTTTACTCTAAGACGTTTACTTTGGTTTAATTATGTATATTACGATTTTTTCTTACTTTAACTGTAAATAATGTAAATAGCTTAGTTTTAAGAATTTATTTCGTAATTTTTTTTTTTTTTTTTTAGTCTTATAACAGGTACAGATTTTTTTTTTTCTCTCATTATGGAACCTGACAATACGTCTGGTGAAGAATCGGAGGAAGAGACACCATTTTCCGAAGTCAGTGATTCCGATTCACAATATTTAAAAAGAAGGACTCTTCAAAAGCGCAATCGAAACTCTGCCCCCGGTTCAGCGGGCAACTCACCAAATAAGAAAAAAAATAAATCGGCCAAATCAAAAAAGGCATCTGAAACAAACAAAAATACACCAAACACGCGGAGCAAAATCACTTCAGCCATCAAATCAGAATCAATTTCACCAAACACCTCAATCAGTAACTCTGTTACAGCCAACAATACTACAAACAAGATTCTGGAGCCAAAAGAAACTTGTGATCTTGAACCGCCATCCATCTTCGTCGCAAAAATTGAAAATTTTATGTCCTTCGGACAAGAAATCGCCGATCTGATTGGGCAGCCAAATTTTACATGTTTTTCCAGAGTCAATGATATTAAAATAAATACCAACTCTAAAGAAAATTACAAAATATTAATTGAACATTTTACTTCACGAAAATACGATTTCCATTGTTACCAACTGAGACAGGAAAAAGCATACAGAGTCGTATTAAGAGGGCTTCATCCAACTACTTCTATAAGCGCAATCAAAATGGGTTTGGAAGAAATAGGCCATAGCGTAAGGAACATAGCTACCGTGCTTCATCCTAAGGAAAAATACCGGCTACCGCTATTTTTCATAGATCTCGAACCTGCAAAAAACAACCCGGAAATTTTTAACGTAAAACGTCTTTTATATTCAATAGTCCGTTTTGAAGAGCCCAGACAAAGACCTATAGTAGTGCAATGCACTAACTGTCAAAATTTGGGACACACAAAAGCCTACTGCCATCATCAGGCCAGATGCTTCAAATGTGCTGGGGCACATCCGTCTGATATTTGCCAGAAACCAAGGCAAGAGGCTGCTATATGTGCACTTTGTGGCGAGGGACACCCAGCGAGCTACAGAGGTTGCGTAGTTTATAAAAATCTTCTGAAGCTGAGATCACATAATATGGCTTTGAAAAGCCTTAACCTTGATCATAAAAGTGGGACTGAGGCTCCCGCAATCGATGATAGAACAAATTTCCCAGCACTGCCGTCGTCACCTTCTCAAGTCATCCAGCCTCAACCATCCATCTCCACAGCTACGGACTATCCTCAACAGGGTTCGAGAAATTTATATCTCCAAACCACCATCAAGAACCAGCAGCCTCGACGAAAGGCGCCTCAGGCTTCCCAATCCAAGCCTAAAACTGCTAAACCTCAGCCTCAACCTCCTCGTCCGCAAATCCCTCTTCACCAACTACCCTTAAGGGTCAAACTCCCGCCAGAGCATCCACCCCCAGTTCCATCCGTTCCTAATCCCAATGTAAACATCCCATCACAAGCCCAACAGAATACAGATCCAACTCCTCGCATCCCACGTCGGGCACATCCCCCTTCCAGCAATCCTAGTCGCACAAATTACCCATCACATCCTCCTGACCTAAATCCACTTCACAGCCAAAAACCTTCCGCCATCAATTCTGTCCTTTCCACATTCCTGATAGATCTTCACGATACTATCAAACCGCTTATTACCCTCCTCACCAGACTCCTTTCCGAAATCCCGTTCAACTTCCCCCGATGAATACAAAGCCCCTAGCTATCCTTTTATGGAACGCTAATGGACTACTCAACCACCGAGACGAACTAGACTTATTTCTCCATGACAATCTCATTGACATTGCCCTCCTGACGGAAACTCACTTCACTCAACGGACACATTTCTACATACATGACTACATCACTTACAGATCTGACCACCCAGATAACACTTCCCACGCTGGTTCCTGCATCCTTATCCATAAATCTTTATCCCACTCCCTTATTCCTTCCACTCCAACTGATGCCATTCAATCAACTTCTATAGTCCTTTCAACTCGCCCTTTCCATCTCACATTCTCAGCTGTATACTGTCCTCCTGGTAATTCCATCTCCTATAACCTCCTTGAATCCTTATTTCAATCCCTCGGATCGCGCTTTATTGCTGGAGGAGACTACAATGCTAAACACCAACGATGGGGTTGTCGAACATCCAACTCCCGCGGTAACATCCTTTCACGTATCTCATCTTCCAACAGTTATTCAATCCTCTCGCCCATGAGTCCTACTTATTGGCCAACATCACTCAAAAAACGTCCCGATATCCTAGATATATTTATCACCTCCCAGATTTCCTTCTCACAAGCCTTAATCAAGTCACTCGATGACCTTTCTTCAGACCATAGTCCAGTGCTGCTTTCACTACATTCAAGCTATGCTCCTAAACCATCATCTCCTAAATTGATTACAGGACGAGTACACTGGGACAACTTTCGTGATGACTTGGAAAACAAACTTGACTTGAAAATTCCGCTTAAGACAAAAGAAGACATTAATGGTGCCATAGATAAACTTACAACATCAATAACAGACAGTATAAACAGTAACACCTTTAACAGTAAGATTAACAATTTACAAAAGACTAACTTGCCACAGCATATTCGTATCTTATTAAAGGAAAAACGCAGAGAAAGATCGAAGTGGCATAGAACTAGATATCCAACAGATAAAACTCATTATACCCGACTGACTAACAAACTAAAATCAGAAATTAGAAAATATAAAATTCAAAATTTACTAAATTTTACTGAAAAACTTACACCTACCGACAAATCATTGTGGACGACGACTAAACGGCTCCTGAAATTCAAAGACTTTAATCATCCACTTCTTACTGAAGATCAAACTTGGTCCAAATCTGATGAAGAAAAATCCCAAATTTTTGCTCATAACCTCTTCAAAACTTTTAATCCACATCCTGATATCCTTAATCCAAATCAGCTTGAATGTATTGAAACAGAACTGGATATTCCACTTCAAATGACTCCTCCTCCTAAAGCATTTCATCCTTCAGAAATATCCAATATTATTCACAGATTATCCTCCCGCAAAGCTCCTGGCCACGACCTAATCACTTCCCACATTCTTAAGCTACTTCCTCGAAAAGCCATTCTATTCCTTACTTATATTTATAACGCCGTACTCCGTTCCACATATTTTCCTGACCCTTGGAAACTATCTGTAGTCAAAATGATACATAACCCAAAAAGCCACCAGAATACCCATCCTCTTACCGTCCTATCTCTCTTTTACCCATCATGGGCAAAATCCTGGAGAAGCTCATCTTAAAACGCCTGTATCCCATCCTAGATTCTAACCACATAATCCCTGATCACCAATTTGGATTCCGCACATCCCATTCCACTATCCAGCAATGTCATCGTGTGGTAGACGTAGTCTCCTCTGCATTGGAGCGCGGAATGTATTGCACTGGAGTTTTTCTCGACGTTGAACAGGCGTTTGATCGAGTCTGGCATCCGGGATTGCTTTACAAACTCCGTAAATTCCTTCCCCCTACATATTTTCTTATCATCAGTTCCTATCTAACTGATAGGCACTTCAAAGTAAATCACAATAATACCTATTCATCCCTCTTTTCTCAATCTGCCGGAGTTCCTCAAGGTAGTATCCTTGGTCCTATCCTTTACACAGTTTATACAGCTGACATCCAAACCCATCCTAACACTGTTATTACCACGTATGCCGATGATACATGTGTCCTATCCGTTAATAATGACCCAACCATTGCATCCCAAACTCTTCAATCACACATCACAAGCCTTGAAGAATGGTGTCAAAACTGGAGGATTAAAATAAATTCTAATAAATCCCATCAAATCACCTTTACCCTTCGACGTAAACCTATGACCTCATGTCCCACAGTATCCTTTAATAATACCCCACTTATCCCTGTTGAACAAATCCGATACCTTGGACTTCATTTGGACAAACGTCTAA